CCCCCCACATTTGTTATATATATTAAATATGTTAGGGCTTCAGCCCCCTCTAACTTTAAGGTCTAGTTACGCCTATGCCCTCAATTAAGAGGAAGTCGAGAAGAACAATAAATTATATTTAAATATTATTATTATTACATCAACAACAACAAGGTTTTTAGCTTACAATTAAGGTTTGAATTAAAATTAAAATGTAAATATTGTGGATTGGTGAGGCACAGTCGTAAGCGCAATCTGTGGAGACGCACTGAGCGTACGTACCGGCCGCAATTGCTGGCTCCCAGATGGGTGACCACCCGAGATTTGTAGCAACAATCTCCTTGCCACACATTCACAAAAACGTGGTACAACTACAGGAGGTGGTTATATAAAAATKTATTATATTTAATATATTATTCAATCTTACTTACTTAAAAACCTACAAACAAAATATATACAAAAATAACTCCTACCGTACCATCCGACACCCAATGGCCTGTTGCCGCAAGTTCCCCTAAAAAAAAAATGTATTATAAATCAGTTGCCGAGATATCTGTATAGATAACCTTTAAGAAAATTATTTAATTTTTATATTAATTTTATAAATTCAGCTAATTTGCATAGTATCGCATAATAGTATGAGGGTGACTTGGGTGAGTGACGGGGATCCATTCTAGACGATGAATATAGGTACACTAGGTTTGTGGTCAGGTGCCAGGTGAAGCTAGATTTGCGCATATATCCATCCTCCCCTCCCCGTACAAGCCTGTTTATACCTTAAAAGTCACAATGATAAGGTTTTGTTTACGGTCCATGATTCTGTGTCGTACAGTTTGTGAAATAAACTACAAATAGACGGAAGCAAGACCCCAATTTTTGATCGGGGGCTCTGAATGGGAGGGCAGAATGGTACAATGTTTATTGCAGTACGGTTCCCGGCCAGTGGCCACCCGCGTTTCATATTGATAACGTTAACAGTCCTCTACTTCCCTCTCAATCATCAACCTTGTTCGACGTATCATAGAAGTTACWATATTGTTATCTCATTCCGTGCCCCGTGGTTATAACGATCTTTGTTTGTTTTGAATACTTGGCCGTTCCCCGTTTGTAATTCAAAAATCATCCGACACTTATCTGGACTATATATAAAAAAAAAGATAATCTTATTAAGGTGTAGATGACTCCGTTAAACGTTTCACTTATTTATTAACTGAAATGATATTTTGTCGATTACAGTGGTTTAAGTATCATAATACTCATTAGTGGTCCGGTATTCGTTTTTATTATTTTTGTGTTTGATTATCATGTTTCATTAATACCTACTATTTATTGAGTTTATTTCGAGTCCATAATCATTAGTCATGTCCAAAACAGGCATAGAACCTAAAGCTTCGTCTACGGCTGTTAAATCTCAAGATCAACGGTATGTTGCAAATTATAAATATCTAATTATAATACCTACTTTTATTATCCAAATTCAGACTTWAAATATATATAACAAAATCTTATTCTTAAAAGGATRAAATTCCTGTATGTTTTGTCTCTGTTCGACAAATGTACTTAATCCGTTTTATATTGTTAGTCTTCATTGCAAATGATTTGACCATTTAAATCTGTTCAGCATTTCAAATTCACACAAAGTTTGACWATACAATGTCTTTAAAATTATCTCTTGTTTGGAAATTCAAATAAAATAATATATTCCTTTGTGGTGCCTGGTGTGGTTCAGTGATTCACTTTAGTCACTATCCTGTTTGAAGTCATGTATTAACCAGTGTCGTTACTTCGCTAGTTCCTGAATGGTTGACCACCTGGGGGTTTAATGACAAATCTTTGTCCCACATACACATTTAACTCTACCAATCGTAACTCTCCTACAAAAATTCTTGTAGCCACAGTTGTTGATGCAGAAGATCAATAAGTATTAACATTTTTTTAAGAGTATACTACACAGCCATTTGTTGTYTCCGTCTTACAAATGTACATCATAACAAATTTACACTCAGCAGATAACTTAGCTCCGTTAGTTTAAAAATTAGAGTGAATCGACTTATTATGAAACTTGATGTTAAGAACATGATTCATTCATAACATTTCAGTCTTTAAGTTAATAAGTTAATTATTACTTGACTATGTTATACCATACCAGCTTTGAACAAAATGGAATTTGCAATTACTAATTTATTATTTTAAATCATTCTTCTAATGCAATAAGTATGGGCATAAAAATGTTAAGTTTTTTATTTTCATTATTTTTAACTAGTATTCACTTTTAACTACAGTATATATGTATTTATTTTGATGTCAGTTAATTTATTTATTATTTTAATGTTAACCTTACTAATAATCTGAATGGCTCTGAATAAACTTATAGCCATTAAAGTCAAAGTTAAACATTTAGGAACATRAGGAAAAAAAATTTAATTTAATTTTAATAACAAATGAAAATAGTTATAACTTTTATTTTCTAGGTCCTTAAGAAATTATCTTAAGAATTCTAGA